TTACAGAAATAAAGAAAGAAAGAGAGAGAGAGAGAGAGAGAGAGAGAGAGAGAGAGAGAGAGAGAGAGAATCAGATTAGCAGGGGAAGTTCCAGCCATTATCAGGCCAAACTGCCTTTTTGCTATTCAGAGCCAGCGGCGTCTCTGCCTGATTTATTCCAGGCAAAACCAATTTATCCGCTCCTGTTTACACAGCAGCACCCGTGTCTGTCTAATGATTATGTCGCTTTTCCTGAAAGCTAGCTGTTATTGTACCAAGGGGAATACACGAAATGCATTAATGTCACAGGGCAGGCTCAGAAGGAGGAAAACGCTCCCTTCCCAATACAAAAATGCACCCTTTGACTTGAGAACCAGGAAGGAGAACTGGATTCGGACTTTTCTACCCACCACAATCCTCCATGTGGGTCAGGTCCAGCCGCCTGAAGGCAAACCCAGAAGCAACCATGAATTCGAGCAAGAAGGCCGAGGAGAGCAATCCAAGACCTCAGCATGTTACCGAATTTTATGAAGACACACCTCTCGAGCCCAAAGTTCCGGTTTCTGACATGGGTTCCTCCCACTCAGGAAGGAACTGCAGACATCTCCCCCGCCGCCCTCCCCAGCTAACAATATTCCCAGCTGACAACATTCAAGAGAAATATTACTATTAAAATGGACACCTGTTTTTGCACCACTCGCATTTACATAGTGTAAAATGACATCAAAAGCAAACAAGAACATGTGAAACAAAAAGGCTTGGTAACGACATAAGAAAACAAGAAGGGCAGATTTGTACATACAGGATGTGTATAAAACCTTTATTTCCATTGAAATCTCAGCCCCTTTCTTGGAGATAACCACAGAATCTTGACAAACTGTCCTCTGCTTTTAAAACCTGGATGCCATTCAATGGCACTTCCAAACACTGTCTATTGCTTTCAATAGGATGGGTAGGAACGGTTGTCCACACAGGTATAGATATAGTATCTGGGTCAGAAATGGAAACTACTGGATTACTGAGGCCCTTTGTGTCAGCATAGGACCAGCATAGGACCAGGTGAAATGCTGTTGGCCCTGGTACCACCTGACTGAATTTGTAACTGTAGTACAACTTCTGACCTTCTGCAGGAGAGGCACTAAAGGACAACAGGCAAGACACTGCCTCCTTAGCATGATGCTACTCTATGCTCCTGCTTCTGGACTCCCCAGTTCTAGATCCCCCCCAAGATGGACATGCAAAAGCCGGACTCCCCAGTTCTAGATCCCCCCCCCCAAGCTGGACATGCAAAAGCCAGACTCCCCAGTTCTAGACTCCCCCAAGCTGAACATGCAAAAACTACATAGCTGAAGTGCTTATCCAGGATGAAGAAAGGACAATGGAAAAAGCTGCAATCACTTAATTTCTGCCCATTGGACTGCCGTTAAAAGCCACAGGAGCATGATCATGTCTGAAGACACGGCACGGTTACAGTCGACACTGATAGTGCTTTGCAGAACTGCAGAAGCAAAAAAAACCAAGATGTCATAAAAACATCAGGCTTTTTCTGCAGTTGCACATCAGCGGCTGGCATTCAGAGGGATATGGCTTCTGAAGATGGAAGGTCCATTTACCCACCATGACGGACCTCACCTCCTCCGTGAATCTGTCTCATCTCCTCTCAAACCCTTCTAAGAAAGTAACCTCCACTACATCCTGCACAGTGAGTCCCACGAGTTAATTATGCATTGTGTGAAGAAGTACGTCCATTTGTCCATCCTGAATCTACTGCCCATTGGGTCCCCTTTCCCCCAAGCGCTGGCACTTTGGGAGACAGAGAAAAGTCAACCACCACGCCATCCATAGCTGCCCTGAGGAGCTTATTGTCTAAAATTTGAGAGCGATAGACAAAAACGTACCAGGATGAATTCAGACCATTTCTGCACAACTGCAAACCTCCACATCGGCATTCTTAAATAACTGAAGTCTGTAAAACTTCCCACACAACTTTTTGCCTCCCCGGGAGTAGATCCGAATTTAGTGCCCTGTTACCCTGTGTTTTCTGAATCCACTTTTCCCGCAATCGCCCCCCCCCGATCTCAACTCAGTTTTCCAGCTTCAAGAGGGAATTAGATAAGCATATGGAGCACAGGTCCCTCAGTGGCTATTAGCCACAAGGTATAGAGCGAGACTCTCAGTCTGGGGCAAGGGATGCTCTTTTTCTTGGTGCTGGGGGGGGACAGTGGGAGGGCTCCTAGTGTCCTGGCCCCACTGCTGGACCTCCTGATGGCACCTGGTATTTTTGGCCACTGTGAGACAGAGTGTTGGACTGGATGGGCCACTGGCCTGATCCAACATTGGCTTCCTCTTATGTTCTTATGTTATGTTCAGTGAGGAATTCCCAATTTCGAATTTTGTTTCCCGCTGCCCTTTTGTGTCTTCAGTGTCACATGGTAGGGAGATAAGAGAAAGAAAGAAAAGTCCCCATGTGTGGTGAAGAAATTCCAGGAACAAGGGACAGTAAAATTGGATGGCATCAGCATACGATCAGGTGAGGCAATTGCCGGGGCACAGAGCTTCTTGGGGGGGGGGGCACTGCAACCAACCCCCGCCCACTTGCTTGTGAACACTCCCCCACCTGCATCTCATCTGCACGTGCCACCAGCGCTGCCAGGGAAGGGCAGATGCTCTGGGCTGTGATGACCACAGGTAGTAAGAAGGCTCGTGGTTCGGCAGGAAAAGAATGCACAGGCATGGGGGGGGAGAGAGGTAGGCAAATCTCTACTGAGCCATGAAGTTCACCGAGTGACCTTGAGCCAGAGAATCTCTCTCTCTGACCGAAGAGAGAGGATAAGATTATTTTTGCCCTCTCCTAAGTACAGCCCCACAACTCACAGAGCCAGTTTGGTGTAGTGGTTAAGTGCGCAGACTCTAATCTGGGAGAATCGGGTTTGATTCCCCACTCCTCCACTTGCAGCTGTTAGATGACCTTGGGCAAGCCATAGTTCTGTCAGAGCTGTTCTCTCAAGGACAGTTCTGGAAAGAGCTCTCTCAGCCCCGCCTGCCTCACAGGGTGTCTGTTGTGGGGAGGGGAAGGGAAAGGAGATTGTAAGCCGCTCTGAGACTCCCAGTGAAGGGCGGGGTATAAATCCAATCTCCTCCTCTTCCTCCTCCTCCTCCTCTTCTTCATACAGGTCCTACAATCCCGGGAATCAATGTTCCCACAGTTGGAACCGACTGCTGGGGTGGGGTGCACAAGATCCACAGTTGTTGCAGCCAAGGATCATGGACTCCAATCCAAAATAGGGGGAGGGAACTCAATATGTGTCCTCTTGAGGTCCTTATGGGAAGGGTAAAGGGCAGAGAGTCAGCAGGGGGCAACCGTCTTCCAAAATACACCAGGTAGACAAGAGGGGTTTCCACAGCCAAGAATCATTTCTGCTCTGAATGTTGCTGTGCTGAGTGGAATCCAGTAACCACCTCGATAATTAATCACACCCTTGCTGCTGTTCTGGCAGCTAATTCTAGGTTTGTTCCAACTCACAATTAATTCTAGGCTTAAGTAACTCTGTGCTTTCTAGAGGTACCAAATTACAGAGCTCTGGCATTTTTGATAATTGCTTATGTGCAAACACGTTCCTATTGTCGCAGGGTTATTGCCAAATGCACATGGAGGAAATGTACCTTGATTATGCAGCAGCCGATGAATAGTAAAAATGAGGCAGAGTTTGCACTGAAGTCTGAAAAAAAACCTCTATAATGCTGCTAATGGCTTTTCAAAAAGCCGACCTGTGGCTTCGAGGGCTTCGGACAAAAAGCTAGAAACTCCATGCTCAGGGTTTCAAGGCTGATTCTGTAATGCACAATACTCACTTGAAATAGTTTATTTGTTTTTCTGAAAATGATCCATCCATGAGGCCATTTCCCAAAGTTTAAACTGGACTGGGACCAAGGAAAATTCAGTATTTCACCCTTCGTGCTACAGTCAAACTCTAATCAGATTTTTACATGCCTGGTAAATAAGTTTTTAAAAAATTAAAAACCACTGGCAACTCTGGTCACGTCACTCCGGCCCAAAAGCTGGGATGTGGCTTTTCACCCTTTGCTCTTTGAAAACCTGCTTGCTTTTCTTCACTCGTTAATTTAACGTCAGCACATTACACTGCTCCCTGAAGTTCAGTTTTGGCTGCAGGAGGATGACCACTGCTGTTCTCCATCTGGAACCGGCCCTTGTTTTCAAAAACTGGAAACAACCTTTGGACTTTGGACAAAAACCTGGAAACAACCCCACCCCTCCACCATCAAACCAGCAGGGACCTCCGCATTGCCCCGACAGCCACCCAGAAACAACCCCCACCGTTTCCCAGACTCCTGCCGTTCAATGTTCCTGTTTAAAAAGGCTCTTAGTGGCTTCCTCAGAATGTAATTCTATTTCAGCAGAATCAATACACAAATTGCATGGCTGTCTTTATTTCACGGATGTTTTTCTAGCAGAATGATACATTTTTGTCTCCCCCTCCCCCCTTTTTCGGAGTGCACTTTGAGGCACTGTCAGCAAAACATTGGATCCTCTGTGGACCCTTCCACCACCACAGGACCCTATGTGGCTATAAAAAGAATCCAGCCAGATCAGTCTAAAGTCCATCAAGACCAGCCCCTACTGTTTCCAACTGGCCAGCACAACATTGTTCTGGGGTATACTGCCTATCCTAGTGGCTTCCTCAGAATGTAATTCTATTTCAGCAGAATCAATACACAAATCTTTATTTCACGGATGTTTTTCTAGCAGAATGATACATTTTTGTCTCCCCCTCCCCCCTTTTTCGGAGTGCACTTTGAGGCACTGTCAGCAAAACATTGGATCCTCTGTGGACCCTTCCACCACCACAGGACCCTATGTGGCTATAAAAAGAATCCAGCCAGATCAGTCTAAAGTCCATCAAGAGTCCAGCCTACTGTTTCCAATACTGGCCAGCAACAATGTTCTGGGGTATACTGCCTCTGAATGTGGAGGTTCCTTTCAGCTCTCATCTGTTATGCAGCTGTTTACATGGCCACTTATATAGGCCTACATAAATCTATCATCCTGCACAAATGTGCATCTTTTGTTGTTCAGTCGCACAGTCAAGTCCGACTCTTCACGACCCCATGGACCACATCGCGCCAGGCCCGCCTGTCTCCCGTCGTGCTCCAGAGTTTGCTTAATTTCATGTTTGTTGCATTGATAACACTGTCTAACTATTTCAACCTTTGCTGTCCCCTCCTTATTTGGCCTTCAATCTTTCCCAGCCTCAGGGTCTTCTTCTCCAGTGAGTGCTCCCTTCTCATTGGGTGGCCAAAGTATTGGAGCTTCAGCTTCAGTATCTGGCCTTCCAGGGAACAATCAGGGTTGATATCTTTTAGGATTGACTGATTTGATCTCCTTGCAGTCCAAAGGACTCTCAAGAGTCTTCTCCAGCATCATAATTCAAAAGCATCTGTTCTTTGGTGCTCAGCCTTCCAATGTGCATCTACTTAGGGCCTAATTACATGTCATGTTTTCCCCAGACCCTCCCTAGATCCACGCAATTAGACATGCGTTCCAAGATTTCCTGTTTCCATGCTGCTTCGCTGACCACAAACGGCTTCTATTTGCACCACTATCCCAGGGGTATATCCCATCACAAGATGTGGACTCCCCCATGGGGTAAATATTGCCTGCTCCAGCCATTTCAAGTCATAAAACGGTGAGGGGGGGCGGGGCAAAGGCCACAGCCCTGTTCCAAACTGGGCCCTACACACCTGTGAATTGATTTCCCAAGCAACACACATCTGATCATGGGGGGCCCAGGAGGCCTTGGGGGAAATGTTACATGCCGTTAAGCCCTTGGAAACTCTGGCCACCACTTCTTATTTGTTCGGAATATTTTTATGCTGCCTCTTCAGGGTCGTGCTCGAGTCAGCTTACAAGTAAAAACCCACAATATTAAAAAAAACAAGTTATTAGACTTATAACAGCATAAAAACTGTCCATAAAACAGAGCAGACCATTAAAAAGAAGACTGAAAAAAACCTTACTTAGGCCCCGGTCACACGTAAAGGTTTGGCCCGGGAGAGGGACGGATTGGGGGCTCAGCAAACCGGCGCGATCTCACCGCAACATCTGGGAAGCGGTGTGCACCCGTCCCCGATCCGTCCCAACCCCCGAAAAGGCGCAGCAAAAATACACCACCTACTGAGGTGGTTCTTCCAGTGCGGCCGCATCAATGCCAGCCGTGGGATCGCCGGCACGTCCTTCTGCCGGCGCATCCCCGGCTCCTGGCTGAACTGCGCATGCTCAGACATGCGCAGTTCGGCAGTCTCCCGTTCCCCACCATCTCCCCGGCATCTGATCGTGCCAGGGAGGGAATGCGCCGCTGCTCAGGGGATCAATGTGATCCTGCCGCAGCGTGTTTCTTTTGGTGCGGCTCTGATTAGCCGCACTTTGCCCGGGTTTTTTCCTGCTGTGTGGCAGGGACCTAAGAAGCTTTTGTAAAATGATGTATTTTAGCCAGGAACGTAAACAAACCTAAAGTAGGTGCCCGGCGGGCCTCAAACAACTTTCTGCCTCCTAAGAATCATTTTAAAAGACAAAGGAACCCATGTGCGTTGCCCAGGATCCTGGGGAATGTTTTTAAGGTGCACATCCTGTCCCCTGAGGAGGAGCTGGGGCTCAGTGGTAGAGCATCTTCATGATATGCAGTAAGTCCCAGGTTCAATCCCTGGCATCTCCAGTGAAAAGGATCAGGCAGTAGGTGATGGGAAAGGCCTCTGCCTGAGACCCTGCCAGTTTGAGGAAACAGCACTGACCTTGATGGACAAAAAAGTCTGATTCAGTATAAAGCAGCTGCATGTGTTGCTTGCCCCCATGTGAAATGCTGGTCTGATCAACTGTGTGGTATAGTGGACAGTGTGTGGAGAACCAGTGTGGTGTAGTGGATACAGTGGCAGACTAGGATCCTGGCAACCCCAGTTTGAATCCTCACTTCTACCACAGAAGCTTACTGGGTGACCTTGGGCCTGTCAC